GAAGTCGAGATTTTAGATCAGCAGATGATCCTGCACGCTATTTTGGCAACACGTACGCAGATCGGAAAACCCGCTATGCGATGTAAAGTGATTTCTTTCCCACAGTGCCACGCCCTCGAGTGGAACATTCTTTTGTAGTTACAAAAAAAAAAAAAAAACAGACACACCTTCTGCGCCGCCAACTGGTAACGGAAAGTATTGCCAAAGCGCACTTACTGGGCCTTCAATTAAGGCGTCTACCTGTCCGTTAAGCCGGTTCAGTCCGCTAATGCACGACGTCTGACCTTTCCGAGCTGGGTCACTGTCACCTCCAGCTCCAAGTCGGCTTTTAGCTGGAAGTAATACTCAAACGAGGCGTACGACCACTGCCAGACACTTCAAATACGTTAATTTTAATTACAATAAAGCTTACAATTAAAAGCATTTTTGGAAACATTAAAACAATACAGGAAAAATATAAAATATGTATTTAAAATATACTGAAATGTTCTAGATGTTTTTAAAAGTTAGTTTATGGTGTTTTGTAGCTTATAATAATCCATATAATCTATCTACGTGACATATAGTTAAAAACAATTTATCTTAAAAAAAAATATATATTTTAACTCTTTCTACATAAAATTTAACACTAAAATAATTCTTTAATGTAATGATTTTTCCCGTGTAACCACATGATATCCACTTAACTAACCGCTTTGGATGGCTGCTTTTCCGGACTTTTCGGCTTGTTGGTAAACATTTAATGTTCTCTTCTGCTCAATTCCCGGGAAGGCAAACATGGTCAGGTATTTTCGGTTCGGGTTGGTTGCCTCAGTGTCCGATTCCCTGCTGCTCCATCTAAGTACGCAGTTTTTAGAAAAGCCAGAGAGAGTGGAACACCTGCAGCTGCCCAAAGTTCTAACTCCTCGCATGTTTGTTTATTTATTAGCTCCACCGAACAGTGTATTACGTATTACCCACTCCAAAAGTCAAAATTTCAATTAAATGCATGTGGTGTGGGGGCTAAATGGCATTTTCCTGGGCACCTGGGAAATAGCTGGCATACGAGACATGGCCTCAAGGAAAGTTGCCTTTGTGCGGGGGCCTTAAACATTTTCCTAGTTGTCATAGTTGAGGTGGAAACTCCCACAAGTAACTGACAACTCTGGCAATTGTATTTTAGAGTCTGGTTGTGCGTTGCGCAGTAACTTATGATAAATTATGTTGGCTGTTGCCTGTTTGCTGGTGTTGTTGCACCGGTGAAAGTGCCAATTGTTTTGTGCGCGAATTCTTGCTCAAGAGATTTCCTATTCGTTATTAATTGTGGCATTGTGTCTGCCCATTTTTTCAGAGCCCTCCCTCGAAGTTCGGAACAAACCAAAACATCCAAACGCATCGTCATGGAGCCCATGCCCACGCCCACGCCCACGCCGAATATGCTGTAAGCAGTCCCACTGAACTCGCATCTGCATCTGCATCTCTCAGACTTCGCATCCGCATCTGCATCTCACTGACTTCGCATCTGCATCTGTACAAAGCCATTCCATTAACCCAAAACCGAGTAACGCGAGTAATCCGCATCTTCAACGCCTCCAGGAAGCAGCTGCTCCTGAAGAATCACCAGGACGCAATTCTGCAGCTCCAGGGAAGCACTCCGTCGCCTCCTTTGTCTTTTTGCGCCGCTTCGATGGCGGACAGCAGGGAAAGGATCCGCGGACCCTCCAGGGATGGTCGGGAGTTCCTGACCAGTCCCAGGCAGGTGCTCCGTCGTCTGATGCTGCTTTCGGAGGGCAGACAGTACAGGGAGGCCGCCGGCGTGGTGGGCAGATTGGGTCCCTCAGTGCTCAGATCAGTCATTGCCGAACTACCGCTGGATCTGCTGCTGGAGCACCTGCCCCACAGTGCCCACCTGCTGGAGTCTTTCTTTACCAGGTGAGTGATAAGATATACTTTAAAAGAACACTATACTAGTATAATAGTATGCCATTGAACTTCTAGAGTATCAATTTAAAATAACTGAAAACAAGTACTGTTTCTTAACAGTTTTTGTTTGTGTAGCATTATTTTTTCAGCATTGAAGAGTTTCCCAAAATTTCAAAGTTTTTCTTGGCATTACAGATTGAGCTGCACTATACTTTATGTAAATACCACAAGAATTTTTTTAACTTCTTCTCAGATTAACCACCTTAAACACAAATCCAAAGCCTGAAGTGCCCAGTGAAACGGTGGCTTGGCATTTGGTGCGTCTGTTTGCCAATCCACATGAATCAGGACTGCGGCAGAGATGTACCCGACTCCTGCAGGCCTTGGCTCAATATGAACCATCATTGCGGCAAACTGTTAGGGAAAGAAGGCGCAGCTTCGACAATGCTGTCCAAGGACTCGGAGTCCATGGTCTGACCACCGATGCCTCCGGTCAGCTTATATCACTGCATGTGGCCCTAAAGGCAGAGCTGCAACGCCATGTGGAAACCTACAAGATGGCCATTCACAAACTGGAGGAGCTGAGCATGGTGACAGTAAACCAGGATCCGGCGCACTCCTCCCACCAACGTTTGCTAGCCATCAACTACGGGGACATTCAGCAGCGTCTGATCGACAATAAGACCCTGCTCACCATGCTGGATAAGCCGGCTCTGAAGCAGCTGCAAACGCTGGTGGAGAATCTCAGCACGCGGGTGGAGAACGACAAGGAGGTGTTGACTTGTGTGGGTCAGGTGCGTCGCCTGGACTCACAGGCTCTGGTGGAGAAGCGACCTGCCGCCGGCCTCCTCATGAACTTCTCCCGCGGCTGCGAGGTGGTGCTCCACATGATGGGTCCCGAGGGCGGACCTCCCCAATCCTCGCTGTCCATGGGCAAGGCCACGCCCCCGGGCGGAGCCAGTACGAGCAGCTGCAGCGATGGCTATCACTCGGATGACTCTGGCAGCGATGACGGCAGGTGAGCACACACAATTTCAACATTTTTAAGAAGCGGAACTAATCGGCAGACTTTTTACAAAGTTGCCGTTTGTTTCATAAATTCTATTGTGTTTGAATTAAAAACTGTAAGCATTGTGGACATAATGCTGGAATAATTTAACCTAGTTATTGTACCCGATTCCAACACTTGACCCAGTTCCAATAAGGTGTAACACCCACATTACAATCTCAGTCAAATCAAAACGAGACCGCATCCAACTCTCACTTGCCCACATACCACACCATAATATACCCATACTACCTATTCTGTCGCTCATCTCCCATTTCTATTTCCATTTCTAATTCTCCGCAGCGAAATGGTGTCGCTCTATCGGAATCTCTACGTCGAGAACCGAGCGGACGCCTTGGAGGCGTTGGATAGTCTTCCCCAGATAAAACACGCGCACAGCCTCAAGGGGAAGATACTCTTCTCGATGATCGTGGTGAGTCTGAAGTGCCCACATACATGCTTTGGGATGGGTTGTAGATCGACACTTTGAGATATGGTCGAAAATTCAATAATGGCTTGTTAAAGTGCCCGAAAAAGTACTGCCAATTGCGGGTCAAGCAATGTTTTCACTTTTTTTGGGCAGAGATAACAAAATTTCTAATTGGGTGTGTCTCAAATTTAATAAATCATTTTTTTTTACTTACCTTTAGATATGTTGTTATTTTGTTTTTTGATAATTAAAAATAATTAAAAATTAAGCCCTGGGGAGAAATTTTTGCCAATTGCTTAGCCAGTCAATCACTCACCTGTCGTTGAAATATAAATCGTTAGCAACAGATTTTTACTTTTGTAATTATCCCCATCGTTTTCACTTGTCAAGACAACTCATAGTTTTTGTGATGAATGGAGTCAATTTATTATGGGCGTCAAATCTTTTCAAGTGCCAATTTCATATCAATAACATTTTAGCTTCTCAAAGGCATATAAAAATATTTTTTAAAAATGTTTTAAAAATGGACCGATCGCCATTTCATTTAGTAAGTCAATAGTTGTTAATAAGTCATTAAATTTTCCTAAGCTTATTTTGAGCAAATAAATACAAAGATGCGTACTAAGAAGGTGGCATTCAAACAAACAATAGTATTGCACTGCTTTATAAACGTTCCAAATGGCTTCACTGCTTCCACTGCTTGCTTATTTTTTAAGCACAGCACATTGACTCTCAAACTGTAAGGCCAATGCGGGCAACGAAGATTACTTTCAATTTTCAAGTGCTTGGCCATCAATTACTTAGACCCGTGGGCCTTGATGCTTCAGATCCTGTCAGACCGCAAATTGCGATTGCAAAATATCAATTTAGCCAGATCGAAATCGCGTTAGAGGATGAGGATGATTAGGCGTTGTGGCAGTGAAAATGTGAGGGAAAGTAGAGCCCCTGGGGTACCTGAAATTACGTAGGCGCTGGGAATCAAACCTGTACTAATCGAATCACTTTCGATCGAGAGATGAATGACACTTTCCCACGGTAAAATTAATAACTCAACGAAGATCAGCACTAAATGAAGTTTAAATTTAAATTTTGAATCTAAAGATGCACTCTTAATTCAAAGAATTTTGGCTTTAAACATTTTTGTCTACTTAAGAGCTTAAGTCGGGTATAATAAATGAGAACATTTAAACAATTTCAATTTAAGGTTTAATTGTATCAAACTGAAATTAAAAATTTTTTCAGGTATTTGTTCCACATATTTTTAACCAATTTTGTTTTATTTTTTTCGTTTGATAACATTTGCTATATTTTTTCGGGACAGCTCTCCTTCCGCTTGTGCCACGGGATGCGAGAACGGAAGGTGCTGGAAGTCCGGCGCATCCTGAACTGCCCCTTGGATAGTAGCAGCGAGACCACATTATCCCTGGACAGATCCGTTCGCCAGCATCTTTTCGAGACCGCCGATAGCTTTCCGCTGGGCGAGATCGAGCGGTCGGTATTTAACCAGGTGCTCTCCACCTTGCACGAGTATCCCTGCCTGGAGTCCTGCCCCCCATTGACGCACTACGTGAGTGCCTGTGTTCGCCTGGCCTGGAGGATGATCAACCAAAAGTCGCCCTATTACCTGGACATGGACTTTAATCTGGGTGGGTATTTTTAAATATGGCTTAATCGATTTACAATCTTAAATTTATGTGATATCCAATGCAGGCTTTTTGCGGCCCGAGAAACACGAACGGCATCCACAAGCAGACCGGCGATCGGACCTTATTAAAGCCTTTCTTTGGCCCGCCTTGATGCAGAACAACCAGTGCGCCTTCAAGGCGGTGGTGGCCACCTGAGGATCGTCTTAAGCTAACCCCATTTGTACATATGCCCCTCTCTTATGCAATAAAGATTTACCCCGTAGCCTAAGCGTAACTGATGGGTCGGAGTTGGACGCACTGACTCCGGACTTTGTTGGTGCAGAGAAGTGGGTGCGTCGAGTAGAATTCCACAATCTCGGAGGGGGATCCAAAGCAGCGTTCCCGGGACTTCTGCTGACCTATGGCATAGCGCTGTCTCCTGTCCACTTGCCTCACAAACAGGTGGTAGAACTGATCTGCTGCCCAGATGCTCACTATATAGCGGATGCACTGGTCGGCCGCCTTGAAGGGACGAACCAGGCAGGAGCCATCCTCCCGTCCATAAAGCATGCGTTCCGCCGTGGGACGATCCACTGTGAAGTAGTATTGCTCCTTTTCTACGTGACGCTCCTCGATCTCCATGTAGTTGGCATCGGTATCCTCTTTAAAAAAGAAAAGAATAAAAAGAATATTTCAAAACCAAATTTATAATATCAAAAGCAATATATAATAATATAATATAATTATATAAAACTTAAATAATATATAAACGATAATTTTTTGATAATTTTCATTTACACAAGTTTATATAAAATGACTTAAACAATTTTCCAGAGCATTTGTTTGATTTCATAAATATTTAAAAATATACTTAGCTTAAATTTCATTTTCTAGATTGCATTTAATCTACTGTTCTGGTATTTGGCTTCAAAGAATTTAGCACAACTGGTATCCAAGAAAATCTCTTTTATCTTTATAAAACACCCAACCACTTTAGATCTAAGAATCTCTATCTTGTTGGCTGGTTTTGTTTATGTTTTGGCACTGTGTGAATTTAGTTTTGTTTTTAAACCGAGAGATCAGCGAGAACTCACCCAAAATGACGTAATCTCGGTGGGGCTGCTGATGTGGATCGTCATCGGTGCTGGAAACCCGTTCGACGACCGCGACGTCACTATCTTCAGCACTTTGCTGCCTATGATAGCCAAAACAGAAGCTACAACAGATGGGTGACCGTAGCTCCATCAGATTGTCCAGCAAGCGGACCAGAAGATTGTGCAGAACCGTCCAGTAGACACGTGGACAGGCACACCAGCAGCACATGGCGCCGAGCAATCGCAGCGACTTATCCCCGCGACCTTGGATTGGATGGATAGGAACCGTTGGGATCGCCACTCCCGGCGCACATCTTTTGCGCTACGCTGAGGACTGAATACTGAGTAACCAGAACTAGACATGGAACCACTACCGGAACCCAGAACTCAAAACTCAGAACCCGAAACTGAAACTGAACAGAAGCCGAAGCAAGCCCGGCTCGTCTGGCGCTGCGCCTTAATTAAAATGTGTTTAATGCGCGGGGCAGCAAATGCCCATATGTAAATAAGATATGGATATGGCTGGTAAACAAAATTCACATTGCAGAGGGGTGGTGATAGTAACTCGATACTCCAAGAGCTGGGGAGTGCAGCCAAGTGCAGATCGTTCTCATGCAGGCTGAGAAATGTTATACATTCTTAAAGCGATTTGTAAGTTTAATAAAACGTTTACAACTTATTAATATTTAGGCATTTATGACATATTTTAAACTATTGATATCCATTTGGTATTGGTATTCCTTAAAAAATTGTATTTATCATTTGGCACATTATATTTTGTGAAAATAAAGCTATTTATTAAAAATTGACATTTTATTTGAAAGTTTTTCTGATTTCACTATTAAACCATTTTATTATTTTCAGTGTACAAGTACAGCGACAATTAATAAACGTTTTGCACTTATGCATTTCTCTTCCCCTCGGTATTTCTACCGATCTTGAGCTTGACTGCGGAATTCATTGAGTGTGGCTGCAATTTTCGGTGGGAAAGGGGTTCTCCATATCGCATTTCTGTTGACTCTTCATAACAAAGACCGATTGGAGCCGAGTGGCCAGCATATGCTTTTGGAGCTTATGCCCGCCTTGATTATAGGGCACCCAGTAATGCAAAGAATTTTTCTTGTTGTTGATCTAATTTGATTGCTGACAGTACTAGTGCAAAAATGCTCCGAAATTCCGCATTTTGGCAAACATATGGGGAAACATGGTCAGGTTATGGAAAAATATGGAATGTTATACCTCTTTAAACTCGTGATAAAATTTCAAACCGATTGGCGTTCAAAGCTTAAAATTTTGGCTAAATCGAAATTTTGGAATATATCATTTAGAGAATTCGAAAATTGGACAAAAATTATATTTCTTAAAAGCGATGGGTACTAAAACATTAGGTATTTAAAAAAATCGTTGTTTTGGCTGTGGGTCCGATTTCGGCCAGAATACGAAAAACTCTTTGAAAAATATAATACTTTGGATAAAACATTAATTCGGTATTTATCAAAAATTAATGTGAATCGAAAGCTAAGGTCGTCAAATATATGGCTGGGTTAAATTAATTAGTATTCATTTTATACACCAAAAAAATTAATAAGTATATTAAAGTGTGAAATATATACTAAGTTCAAAGAAGTTTAGATTAAAAGCAAACCGAAAGCTATATTTTTTAGTTGGCCAGCTAAGATTTGAACCTTGAAAAGTTTGTCGCAAACATACACCACCCAACAAAATAGTGAAAAGCTTCTGTGGTGAAGCTCTGATTCTGTCCTTTTCAGTCGGAATATCACTTGCTCCCTCGCACTCTTTTTAAAATTTCTAAATATTCAAAAGCAATTAAATTGCGGGCGTAAAATGTTCAAGTTGACGTCGTTCCGAGTCGATTGCATTCAAATCTCCTTGTAGAACCCATAATGGACGTGCAAATGACCAGCACGTGGACCTCAAAAAACAGACAGATCGCACAAAATCCGGCCAAAAATTGCTGCTCCCTTTATTACGTATACGCCGGATGGGCTGCAGTGAGCACCGTGATTCTGTTTGCACATTTAAAGCAGTCACTATTCGACTACGCCACAGTAGGCAAACATCTCTGCAGGCCGGTCACGTGCGCCTAATGTCAATAAAACGATATTCCCAGTCGATGAAATGGTATGGGGGCATTAATAACAATACTCGAACAATACGATCGCACTCCGCGGAACAGTGGCACTCATAACATCGGCCAATTAATATGCGGCAAACAATTTTGATGAACTGCTAACAAGCCGATGGATCCGGGGGTTTTATGGGGGCTTCTATTCGGGCACTGAGATGGCAGGCCATAAAGCAACAAAATGGCACAAATTGATTTTGGCCAAACGATTATTTCGGGGGTTGCGTGCTCTTGGGCACATCCGCCTCGAAAAGCCTCCCCGATCCCCAACCACACTCCCTTCGATGCCAAGGATCGACCAGCTGGTCCATCAATTTCAATGAGTCGATTGATTGAGAGACCCGTCAATTCTTGTGGCCACTCAAATTTATAAGTTCGTCCAAGAAAATACATATTGCCCATTGCGGTTTCCGTCTTAATTATGTTTGTGTGCCCCTGCGAGTGTGGCAAAAATATTTACAGAAATAGAGTGAGAGGAATCTCGGCGACGGCCACAAGTTATGAGCTATTAAGAATAAAAGCCAGCATATTTTGTATTTACGATAATATCCGGACGGAGGCCAAGCCGTAGAACTGCAACTCACCACACTTTTTCCAGCGCTCAACAGGCGTCCGGTGTTCGGGGGCCCGTCCACATTTATCCATTCACATTCACATCCACATCCAGCCGAAGTCGAACCCGATTCCGAATCCGATTCCGAATCCGAACCGAATCCCAACCGCTTCAGTTTTAGTCCGTGCAAAGCATTCGCGCATTTTGCCGTCGAGCGTTGGCCAGCGCGGTGGATATTCCGCATATCCGCTTATCGAATCCACAGTATCGTCAGCATCGGAACGGTATCGAATCTTAGAGTTTCGACTGCCATCAGAAATAAAGAATTAATAAACAAATCCAGTGTGCGTGCCAGTGTTTGTGTTCGTTGTCTCAATGAAATGCCAAACTAAATAAGCTTGGAAAAGTTTTCCATCCAGTTTTTATGGCAGCCAGCGAAGCCCAAAAAAGTGTCAATTGAATTAGCGTCTCGGAGGCCAAAAAATAAAGAGCAAAGAGAGATTGTTGAGGCGCAACAGGTGATTGGATCGCAGATATCAAAATTTGCAGTGGTGTTGCCCACAAAATAAAGACCACCTGTGGCTCCTCCTTAAATATTTTTAAGGGCCACCCTTCAACGATCTTCCCTTGGCTTCAGGTAACTACAGTACATGTATTTAGGCAAATTTTAGAAACAAGCCCGAAAACAACATATGTTAGACCCCCCATAAATAAGAAAATCAATAAAATTCGGACCCAGCATTCATGTTTATGCTAACCGCAGTGGCAACTAAATATTTGCTTTTGGCAGCGGGGAAAGTCTTCACCTGTTGCGCGTATCGCATGTCCTGTTTATTGGCTAATTGGTAACATACAGTTCCGCTCATCAATCTACACATATGTCCAACCATCCATATCCATTCGTTAAGCCAAATATAAGTCCACCCTTGACCCTGCCTGCGGGCAGCACATTAAATCATCCCGAGCAAACAAATTAGCGCAATGAGTGCATCAATAAACAAAGTTCACCTGTTGCCCCCGCGGGTGTCTCATCTGTAGTTTACATTTTGAGATACATCTTGTATCTTTTGGGCTGCAGCCTCTGACTTATGGCGGATTTTTGGAATTGCGCTCGATGGGAAACAAAGCGAACAAAAAGCGAAATGAACCGAACCGGGCGAGTGAACATCAAAAGCGCTTTATCGCAATGGTCTGTATCTATCCCAGTTGGGTGGTGGGAGGGCGGGTGTATCTATCTATCTATCAGATGCACACGGCGCTTGTAACCGCAAATTCGCATGGTACCGCCCCCTCGCCCCACGCCCCCCTGTCCTTCGAGCGCCTCAAGTCGCCAGTGCTCTTGATTGCGCCTTTGTGTATAAATTAATTAAATTAAAAGTTTCCGGTTAAGCCTCCAAACGCCGACAAACGCGCGCATTCGGACGCAATTGCATTCGAAATTGCAGAAGACCCGACCCGATGCACTCGTATTTGCCACCTCGAGGAGCAGCCGATAATCGCAGCCCCTTTTGATGTTTGATAAAAAATAAATAAAACAAACCCAGACGATGCGAATATTTAGTGCATGAATATGCGCCGATTGTGTCAACAAGTTTATGGGGTTTTCCCTGATTCAACGCCGAGTGTTTGATTGCAATGGTGTCCTCTTATCACAAACTTAAGCTGGTCCAATGAACTGCCCTCCTATACACGCAAAATATTACAAAACTTAGTGATAAGGGAAAATGTATATATGTCAGATACATGGTCTTAGGCATCAACTATAAAAATACACTTATGTTGCAAAAAAAATGATATTACATTTTTAATAGGTTAAAAGCGATTTGTAATTCCGCTGATAAAAAAGTAATAGGAAATTCAATAGCGTTCAAACTAGATAATGGGAAGTAATATTCCGAAATCATGTTAACCAAATGCTTTGTGGATTTTTTTGCATAAGTTTTACAAATTTAAAAAAAATATTTCATATAAATGCGCTATGAGATTGCAATAGGATTGGACACTCCTTAGTAGGTTTTATAATTTATTTGCCGTGTAAGTAAAAGGCTAATTCAAGCAAGTTTTGAGGACCCAAGGCTTCACTGTAGCTCTCTCGTTTGGATGGCAATCCTTTCCCTGCGATAGCCCTTCGTCCCGCTGGGAAACGTGTGCAGTGAGTCGAAAAAGTCGAACCCGGGAATAGATTCATTAGGCTACTCCTGGCACCGCCTGGCACATCCCGTTTTCTGGTGTGTCCATCCCAATTGCTTCTATAAATATTTCGGCAGACACATCAACAACCTCCGGACTAAAACGTCAGCACTTGCCAAAATTCAGACCGCGACGCAAGCGATTTCCAAACTGCTCACTGTTGTGGCAAAATCAACAGCTTGGCCAAATCTGATTTCGATTCGATTATACGAATTTAAAGTAAGTCACGCAGCGGCTTTAGCAGTTCCCCTGGCCCTTAAGTCGGGCTGTACATACACATAAGTGGGTTGCGGCTGGGAATTAGCATCCAATTAGAAGATAATCGGGCGCTAATTCCCTGCGTAAACAGTTTGCGAAAAGATGGCCCTAAAGTGTCGCAGATTTACGGTGCTGCGGCCACGCCCTAACCCTGTAACCCCCCCCAAAATGAGTGTCCCTGAGTGCCTGCAGCTAATGTGCAGTCGACCTTCACGCCAACTAAAGACCAATTGTCAATATTTTGACAGCCATCCCCCATCAAAAGTTAGGAGGGGTGGTCAGCAGTCCAGTGAAGA